ATCTTAATTTACTAGAACTAAATGAAAATATGACACTAAATAGGACGCAATGGAGAAAAAGGATTCATGTAGCCGACCCCACGTAGTGGGATTAAGGCTTTGTTGTTGTTGTTGTTGTTGTTGTATTCTTTCATCTTTAAAAGCCTAAAACATATCTATAGCCTTACCACTTAAAACTTATTAATACATAAAAAATATTGCTCCTTTTCACCGTCTCTTTTGGTTATCATAGAAGTTGATGTTGTTGTGCCAAGTACTGGAGGATAAAGACACTCCTTGCTACATTGAGGACGGAGATGAAGGGGCAGAGTGGAGGAGAAGGCAACGACAATGAACAGTGAAAAGTTGGAGGAGGCAACGAGGGAGAAGGGAGATGGATTTTGACAATCGGTGAATTGGATAAGTGTAGTAGCATTGTGTTGAGAAGCAATTGTTGCTGTTTGTGCCCAAGGAGAAAGAGACTCCCTGTTGCATTGTGGACATTCAGACTACTTCTCCATTCACTGAAAGAGAGAATGAAAAAAGAGAAATTTTTTCTATACATTTTTTTTTTGGCTTAAGATATGGGAATATAATTGAATTCAATGGTATGTATGTAAGAACCCCTAATAATCACTTGATGAAAACTAAAACTTAAGTTATAGATTACATGCTAAATTTGGTCTTCTAAATGAATAACATCCTTCATTGGGAGACATGGACCTAGAATATGAATATTGCTTGTGTGCATCAAAATGAGAAAACAGGCTATAATCGGTTACAATGGTTGCAGTATATCAAACACCACAATGGAAAACCTTGACGCTTTAATACAGTCACAATCATGGCTTTCTTTGCTCTTTTTGCTGATTACGTCAAAAATTAAAGCATTTTTAGCCTCATAATTACAGACATTTTGCATGATATTCGTACTCTTATTTAGCAAGTGACAATTGGCAAAACATCTTATCTTTAGGGAAAAATAAGGGGTAAAATATCTCTCATTAAGAAGTTAACGCTACTAAAACTGAGGACTTATGAGTAGAGATAGTAATAGATTAGAAATTTTAGACTATTTTTGCATAAGATACACAGTGAGGGTAAGTGTATTATGCGATTCTGAAACTTGAATATAAATTTAAGGGGCTATTCATTTGTCTGCAAAAAAAAAAGTAAAGTAAAATAGAATGCAATGTATTATACATCTATTAGACCGTTTGATTGTTTGTAAATAAATACAGGAAATTTATTTTTTCTGTTTGGTTATATGCATGTAAAATAAAGTAAAAACAACATATTCAAAATACTTGAGGTTGTTTATAAAACAAATACAAATGAATTATTTTTTATATTTTTTAAATAATTGTAATAAAATATATGTGAATTAATATAACATATTATTATAATTATTTTATTAATATTATTTATAAGTTAATATAACAACCTTAAAGTTAATGGTCACAATACATGTGAACTTTTTATAATTGGTGTAATAACACTTATTTTTCATTTTACATTTTCATTAGTTGCCTATAATCTTATTCCAATAAAAAAATTAATTAATTATCACTAGTAATAGTATATTTTTCTTGTAAAATTTATCATATACAGAGATCTTAAATGTGAAAAAATTTAATATTTCTAAGAAAGAACATAACTTGAATTTAAATTTAAGGGGCTATTTAGTTGTCTGAAAAATAATACAAAGTAAAATAGAATGCAGTGTATTATATATCTATCAGACTGTTTGGTTGTCTGTGAAATAAATACAGGAAAATTATTTTTTTTGTTTGGTTACATACATGTAAAGTAAAGTAAAAACAGTATATTCAAAATACTTGAGCTTGTTTGATTGTTTATAAAATAAATACAAATGAATTATTTTTTATATTTATTTAAATAATTGTAATAAAATATATGTGAATTAATATATCATATAATTATTACTATATTATTACCATTATTTATAAATTAATATAACAACCTTAAAGTTAATGCTCACAATACAATGTGAACTTTTTATAATTGGTGTAATAACACTTATTTTTCATCTTACATTTTCATTAGTTGCCTATAATCTTATTCCAATAAAAAAATTAATTAATTATCACTAGTAATAGTATATTTTTCTTGTAAAATTTATCATATACAGAGATCTTAAATGTGAAAAAATTTAATATTTCTAAGAAAGAACATAACTTGAATTTAAATTTAAGGGGCTATTTAGTTGTCTGAAAAATAATACAAAGTAAAATAGAATGCAGTGTATTATATATCTATCAGACTGTTTGGTTGTCTGTGAAATAAATACAGGAAAATTATTTTTTTTGTTTGGTTACATACATGTAAAGTAAAGTAAAAACAGTATATTCAAAATACTTGAGCTTGTTTGATTGTTTATAAAATAAATACAAATGAATTATTTTTTATATTTATTTAAATAATTGTAATAAAATATATGTGAATTAATATATCATATAATTATTACTATATTATTACCATTATTTATAAATTAATATAACAACCTTAAAGTTAATGCTCACAATACAATGTGAACTTTTTATAATTGGTGTAATAACACTTATTTTTCATCTTACATTTTCATTAGTTGCCTATAATCTTATTCCAATAAAAAATTTATTAATTATCACTAGTAATAGTATATTTTTCTTCTAAATTTTATCATATAAAGAGATGGTAAATGTGAAAAAATTTAATATTTTTAAGAAAGAACATAACTTGGAAAAATATAATAGCAAAGTATATGTCTGAATCAAAATGAAGCTTCATGCATGACATGGCAACATACACACGGAGACAGAGCAAAAATAAACTCTATGCTAAAAATGAACCAAATATCTTTATAAGAAAGAAACTTCCAGCTGCAATTATTCTACTCATAGAGAAACTAAACAAAGAAAAGTAAACAAATGATTACAGATTGAAATGAGGAGAGTTGTACTTAGAACAGGGAAGCAGCAAATTTGCTAGCAGAAAATTCTCAATAAAGTCAAGATACCGTGACAACCAAGCACGCATATCCCGCTTTCTTTAGAAATGAAGGAATTTACCAGAATAATCACAGCAGGGCAGAGCACTAAATGAAAGATCGCAATGTAGCAGTGAACGCCGGAAAGTAGGAAGGAGGATTATGAGGCATCAGCACATGATGGAGAAGGACTGCGAGAGGTAGCGAACACACGCCAACAACTTATTTGCAGCGAACGTAAGGAAAAAATACTGCGAGGCAGCTGCAAATGAAGGAGAAGGCGAGCAAGACAGCAAATGAAAGGAGCAAATCCCTTTTGCAGAAAAGCACATGTGAGCAAAGGCTATAAGTAGCGCGGCAAATTGATTTACGCTCAATTTCAAGCAAGTTTGTAATGCGGGGTTTATTAACTGGTCTCAGAATTTATAATTCCCTGGTATTTCTATTTTACTTTTAAATTATTGATTACCAAACAATAGAAGTTCAAAATTCTTGCATTTATTTTACTTTACAACAATTTTACATCAAAACAAACAGTCCCTAAAAGTCTCATCTTTTCTCCCATATCAAAGATTTGTGCTATCCGAATAAAGTATGTTGATTTCATGCAATGATAATGATAATAATAATAATTTTAAAAAAGGAAAAAGATTAGTGTTGTGTTCCATTAATGCATGCTTGTAGAGCTGAGCCACCTCAATCCTATTTTTCCTTCAATCTCCTTTAATCTTGTTGTGCTAGATTTTCAACAATCTTCCTTACACACTAAAGTTGCTTCACTTTGTATGAAGCCCCAAAACTAAGATTGTTGGCAGCACATATTGAATTAGAAGTGAAGCTATCCAATAACACAGACTGGCTAAGGCAGCAATATGTTACTGTAGCTATCAAAATAACTCCTTGTCTATGATCAGAATCAAGGCTGCTTACGAAGGGAAGATAAATCATGTACTTTAACCACGTATGGGTTCATGGAGAACAGCCAGATACATGTAATGGTGCATAAGAAACTAAGTTGAGGATTTATTTTGATTAAAATTAGAATTATCATTCTTTTGGATAATATTAAATTTGAATTTAAATTGACAGACATGATTGGATTCCATTTCACGTCAATCTTATCATTCGTATCCTACTTCTATATAAAGGAATTCATAGCTTCTATTTTGGGATGAATTGGCTGATGAATGAAAATTGAAGCTCTCTTATCCTCGCATACTTCATCCTAATGTAAACCTCACTCAGCTTGCTCTCTTCTTGAAACCTGATTGCATCAAGCAACTTCCCTTGATTTTATTTTCTAAGTCAATTCGCTATTCTTGGGTGATCTAAAAAGCCTACCACTTGCATTCAGAAATATTAAAAAACACACTAAGAAGGAAGGTAGTGAGGTGTGTGAAGGCACTTCAGAAATTCTTTCAAAACTCTGCCAATTTTATCTCTCACAATCAAGTGTGTGGAACAAAGCAATCATACTTACTACATAAACATACAGTCGGAGTTGTATACGATGCATATGAAATATGTAATGCTAAAAAAGAATAAATGAAATAAAAGCAAAATACGTGCCATTAAGGAGCATTAGCATACTAAAATTTGTGATCAAGTTAGTCGACCTACAACTATAATCATAAAAATATGATAAAGTTAATCAACCTCAATTATAGTCATAAAAACATACAATGATAAGTGAGCAATAAATTAATAAGCTCAATATAATATTTAGCTCAACTAAACAAGCTATATTCACATAATAAAGCACCAAATATACACAACACTGGTGTATAAACTATAAAAATGATACTGATTACAAAGTTAAACACTATAGATTGTGAGAACGTCAGGTGTAAGCACAAGTGAACCGCTACAATACACCACAAAGACAACCAAGAAAAAAGTTATTTAGATAAATAAGCAAGAAATATAAAACAAACTACAGAGCAATTGACAATATTTTTTGCATAATTTGGCACTCAACTATGCTACATCCATGTCTAATCAATTTCTGGCTCAGTATTTCGTTAATCACCTCTTTTGCACCTTGAGCTAATGCAGAAACAATTACATTATATTTCCTACCCATTTCTTGCTCCAAACAAGTCCACCACAACCCAAGTTTTACACCCAAAACCCCTTCAAGTCCTCAAAAGCTGGTCACAAACAAGGTTAAACGATAATATATTCCAAATTCTTCCCAAAAACGTTTCCGGGATACCTGGATGGGCTTCTAACTTACCCGACAAACAAGATGACTTCAAGTTGAACAAAGACAGCCTTCTCAGTATTCCCAATAATGTCGCACCACGCACGTAACTCATTTGTAAGCCCCAGAAAACTAAACCAACATTTTTTCAACGGAACTCATCCCTTTAACAATATAAACATACAGATAAAGCTACAAGAAACATAGCCTAGGGTTTAGCGAACAACCATTTGACAGCATAACGGGAAAACCAAACAATTTTGAGCCATTGGCTCGAGATCTATATCAATTCTAGCAAGTAAAACGAGCAACTACTGATAGAAAAGATTGGGAAATCAAAATTAGAAAAGCAGTGAAGAGCACCTCTCGACAAGCTGGTGGCCAACCTGGTAGCCAATGGCCTCGATACGGCGGGGGGGGAGCCTCCGGCTCAGCGGAATAGAAGTTGCGACATAACGCGGATACCATCTCGATCACCACGGCGTCTACACAGCTCTCTGCCACCTCTCGCCCCATCTCTGCCTCGATGACCAGAGGTAATTCTCACTCTTCCTCACACCTAGTTTAAGAATTATGTACTAAGTCTATAAATTTTAATTTTACTATATATATGATCGGATACTCACCTTTTCTTTTTGTTTTGTCAAAGTAGCCTAGTATTTAAACTTTGCTCAATTTTTTATGAAGGGAATAAAAGAAAATAAAAAAGTTGAGATTATATTATTTGATTTTTGTTTAATTTATTTTATTAGTGGGGGATATTTTATGCTCTCGTAATAAAATAGAGGTCCCAATAAATTAAAGTAATATTAATAATCCTTGTTAAAATTCATGCATGCGATCTCACAAATGCTGAAGAAAGCAACACAACTTATGTTCTAACTAAGATTCTTCTCGCATGGCCTTCTTCTCCCAACCATGGGAAGTGTCCAATTTCCCCCAAGATCCTTCATCAACAAGAAGGCATGTGAGAAATGAAAGAGAACTTTGATTGCTTAATAGAATACATGAAACCCTAAGCTCTAAGATATATCAGGTAGCATATCATGAATTAGTTCCCACAAAGAGCCAATCTCCACTTATGGTTGATGCACTCATTCTAAGAAATTAAAGAGTTAACATAAATTTGAAGAAGATCATGATGTTCCATCATGTAAATTTTTATTTTCAACACTAACATATCTCATAAAATGAAATGCCTTAGTTTTCTTTTCGATAATTTGGTTATATTAGGGGAAAAAATTAGTTGATTATTACAATTCTCTCATTTGAGTCAACACTATTGATACGTTGTCAATAAAATTTATCATTTGGCACAAATTGCGAGGTGATCAACATGGATCTTGAAAGAGTAATAGCACGCAAACTCCAATTAAAAGTCATCCAAAACTCCGATTTCAATGAACTTACAGTCAAATTGACTAGCTCGAAGAGATAAACACAATGACGCCAAAGTTGGTCCAATCCAAGTCAAATCAAGGTCATATCAAGGCATTAAGCAACTTTTAGAAGCTTTTGGTCCTTAATAGGAGGGTCAAACAGACTTCAAATATGACAAACTTACAGTCAAATCAAATGTCTCAATAAGATAAATGCAACAAACCTAAAGTCACTTAATTTTGACATCGTTAAGACACTCAAATGTTCACAAAATATTATTTGGTCGAGGGAATCTCTCTATGTTATTCGATGGAGTGGTCCAGATTCGTTTCTTATTTGCAGGGAGGCCTCTTACATACTCTATAAATAGAGCTTTGGCCACGTCATGAAAGCGGACCTAGATCTTGAGCCAGAGGAAGCATGGAGCTTAGAGGAGAAGGAACATAGATCTAGTTTTCCACATCAAAGGTCTAGAGAGTGTCACCTGCTCTTGTAGCCACTGACCACCACCGTCGATAGCTCATTGGCCATTTTCAACCACCATTTTTTGCCCCCAACTCATTGTAACAAAACCTTTTACAGAATCAAAATGTGTGCTACAAAATCCTGGTGTACGTTTTGAGTAACGAAACACCCAACAGAGCAGTACATTGTCTTAAACACTATGTAACCATGAACTTCAAAGACACTGTATTGAAGTTCCAGTAAATTCTCCCAATTGCAATCACTCTCGATCGTTGTGCAATAAACATTTTACCTTCAGGAATTGTATAGTCTTTTCTAGTACGTGGGACAATAAAACGTAAGTGTACTCACAAATTCATTGTGGATTGTTCTGGCTGGGCTCGACTATGTAGTATTTTATCTTTTTGAGTTTTCCACGTAAATACTTTTGGTGTCTCTACCTGTCACTTTTATTGTCTAAGTGTATGTGGATTCTAGTATAACCCTGAGACAATAATTCATTATTTTTCCATCATAAATCTTATGATACTCATCAACTATGACAAAATTGAATCTCTTATATGACTTTTCATTAAGTCAAGCATTTTATACTCAAAAAGTTCTAAAAATCCTAACATGATACTTCTTTAAACTGCCCAATAGCCTTTAAAGCATATATTACATATAAAAATCGATTCATTAATACAAATAATGCACCTACAAAAAAATTTAAACACCACAATCATATCTTCAGGCATTGAGATAAGCTATGTCATAAAAAATAACCCATATGATCACATGAATTCCTGCATCATTTAATGCTAAAAATTATTTCATAAATTTTCAAAAGATAAGCAATTTTTTTCTTGAGCTAGCGTCTCATATTTGATGTTTATGCATATTTGACTTTCTCCTTCCTCATCCAACACACTATGTATCACTTGACTACAACTTAAAGATCAGTTTGGTCACACCCTACGTCCAAAAAGTGGAAAACATTAGCAACATGAAACATGGTGATGGGATTGATCTCAAAACTTGAGATAAATCACATAAGTCAAGACTAATTAAATACGTTCTATATCTAATAGGAAAAAAAATTCATGCATTAATAATGAGAGGAACATTTAAGAATAATGAAAAGAAAGTAAATAATAGTTCATTACATTAATATATTTTATAATAAGATCTTAATAAGGATATAAAAATACTATTGAAAGAAAAAAAAATATATGAGAAAATACTAACCATTCTTAAATAAATTATAAGTAAAAAAGTATAAATAACCAAGAGTTGGAAAGGGGTGTTCCAAAATTTCCATTATTGTGGTGAGAAGCTGAGAATGTGTAAAATACCCTTGAGTGGTTGGAATAGTTTTATTAGAGGTGGTGGTTTAGAAGAAGGATATAGCCAAGGGTTTAGTCTATGGCCAACCCTAGGGATTTAGTTAAAGACTTACAGTTAGGGTTTTCTATGGTGGATGATTCAAGGTATAAATTTGAATTTTAAGGTTATACTTAGATTTAAGTTGCAGTGTTTGACAATATCTCAAGAGGTTTATAGGTCAAAGATAGATTAAAAATCAAGACTAGGTTAAGATGACATAGTTTGGACATATTCAATTAGGCTTGGAATATTGCATAAGTATAGGGGCTTAATGGTGAATTAAAGAGCTAGAAAAGCTATGCAACATGAAGGAAATAAGGGGATGTTATATATGGATTAAATGGTAGATATCCATAAAGCTAGAAAAGCTATGCAACATGAAGGAAATAAGGGGATGTTATATATGGATTAAATGGTAGATATCCAAGGTATTTTATGGTTGATGGAGGAAGGAGAAATACTATAACAAAATGATCAATAGCTTTTTTTTTTAGTAAAAGAGCATTATTCGACTCCTTATGTATTGATCACAAAAAAAAAACAAAAATAAACAAGAGGACTTATCTACACCCCACTTACAATGCACACAAAAAAGAAAACTTAAAAGTCCTCTTTCCCAAGAAATGAAAAAATACAACTCACACACCCAACAACACAAAATAACAAAAGACTCCAAAACATTATAAAACTTCCCTAAGAGCCATTTGCAACAAAACAGAAGGAAAAAACTTGGAAAGAAAAGCACCATTCAGCTGTAAACCAAGCATAGCCGCCCAATGAGCAACTCCATTACCTTCTCTCTTAGTATGGGACCAGCTAATGTGTAAATTCTTGGATAAAGTTGCAATCCTCTTCATTTGAATATTAACACTCCAATGATGATCTTCATGAAATTTGCAGTACTTTCATAAGATCAAAGAGTAAGTTTCAAGGATAATATAATGCAAAAAAATTTTTTTTTGCCACCATAAGACCAAAAACCAAAGCATCTGCCTCAACGACTAGTGGGGAAACAGGACAGCATTTGCCGAAAACATGCAAATAATAGAACCCAAAAAATCCCTACACACACCTCCAACACTAGCACAATTAGGCTTCCAACAACCATCAATAGTGATTTTAATATAAGGTGCACTAGGCTCACACCAATGAGCCAATGAAATATGTTTACTGATTAAGGGAATAGGAATAGATAACTTCTTCAAAATAAAACTCAGCCTGCTCATCAACCTTTTAATAGGGGTCAGAAGTTTAAGCCCTTTCATGAGGTAATTAATAATCCTACTAACCGTACAATGAATATGAGGAATCATATTATTATATTTAATATCATTCCTCATAATCCCAATGAACCAAATGATAATAGTAGGGCGACAATGAAAAAGGCATGACCAAAATTCTTCCAAACATTGAATAAATTAGAAATGGCATTATAGTGAGTCACATAATTCTCCATATGCAATTTTAAAGTAACCTATCTCCAAATTTCCTTAGTAACCTGACAGCTCATAAAAATATGAAGACTTGTTTCTTCATGATTTTTGCATAAAACAAAACATGAAGTAAGTCTCAAACCTTTTAACTTTAGCAGATCATCCGTTGGAAGAAGATTATGCATTACTCTCCAAATAAAGAAGGGCATGGAAGGTTTGACCCAAAAATTCCAATTCCATCGAAGGTCTAACCCCTGAAAGAATTAAAAGAATTAGCAAAGCTTTTAGAAACAGAATCTCCCATCCTTCCTTTAATCTTGGCCATATCATTATCATCTCTGTTAATAGGAATCAAATTAATGAAATAAGCATCTTCAATATGAACCATCTGTTTAAGCTTTTGTAAACACCAACGATTCTCATTCCATTAATCTCTCACTTTAACATCAATAGAAACAAGGCCACCATAAAAATCAACTAGAGCTCCCTTCCCCATCCAATCATCATACCTAAAGGAAACATCACCTTCACCAATATCCCAATAGATAAGATCTTCAGTGTTCCTTGCTACTTTTAGCATTTCACGCGAAATAAAAGAATTGTTCTTTTTATAAGTAATAGCCAGAGGATGTTTATTAAAACAATATTTGACATGCATTAAGGAAGCTCAAAGAGAACAATTCTTTCTGAATCTATACCACAATTTCATGTAATTTATTGTCATAGAATCAGATAAATTACGAAAGCCAAGACCACCTTTATCAACAGGTTTACAAAGCTTCTTCCAGCTAGTCCAGTGTATCTTAGACTTGCCATTACAATCGTTCTTTTTATAAGTAATAGCCAGAGGATGTTTATTAAAACAATATTTGACATGCATTAAGGAAGCCCAAAGAGAACAATTCTTTCTGAATCTATACCACAATT